GTCGTAGTCGTAGTCGTAGTCGTAGTCGTAGTCGTAGTCGTAGTCGTCGTAGTAGTAGTAGTAGTAGTAGTAGCAGTAGTAGTAGTAGTAGTCGTAGTTTGAACTGTTTTTGCTTTGGTGTTGCAAATGAGTCCGCTTTGGTGTCATAAGCGAGTCTGTCCTGGGTAGGTTTTAGGTGTCGCAAGTGAGTCAGTTTTGGTGTCGCAAGTGAGATCCTTGCCCAGTATAATTGTATAATATGGTACAATATGTTCACAGCAAGACAATGCCATCCCAAAAGGTATGTGAAATACCAAGACTTTTGGCGAGTGCCTCATTTCTTCAGAGACATGGAGGCGCGCGCGCGCGTGTCTTCGCATAAAGCTTCGCACCCATAGAAAGCCACTAGTAGTAACAAGGGCATCGCTACGAACGTAACAAGGTCATTACTACTAGTAACAAGAAGCTACTAGTAGTAATTCATGCCTTTGTCAATAACTACTTTTTCTGTTTTTTAGACTGCAGCTGCTGACTGGGATCAGTTTTTCCTGGCTGTGCTTCAGGCAGATCTGGAGGATGAGGAAGAGTGCCCCAACAGTTGTATTGTGGGAACAGCCTCAGCCACCCCGACGTGCATGATTTGTCAATGCTGAGTCATAAGTTGGCCTGGTTTTCCGAATTCTTCTCGGAAGGTTTTCTTTTCAAAAAGGCATTCTCGTTCAAAGGTTGGAATCGGTCCAAGTCCTCAAGCCACCAAGATTTCTTTCCAAAGATGAAAGATGTGCAACGTGCCCGCTGCTTCATTCCTTCATTCCAGTAGGTACATCGAGTCGTTGCATATGCCAGAGGAGGCATGGAGTGAATGACAAACGCAAAAGTTGGGTTCAGCAGGGCGTCAGTTGTGAAGGACGAGCCGAAACGGCGGGTACGGCTTCTAGCCCAAAGTCTTGGCCTTTGCCGCAGACACTTCAGCCAATCTTTCTCTGAAATGCTGTTGCCCTGACATGCCCTGAAGATCCCTGAAGAATATGAGAAACACTGGCATAGGGGCTGCACGGAGGCAGTGCGGATTTAGCTCAGACTTCGATGTGCTGAATGTGCGGCGTAAAGCCAGCAAGAATCAGTTGGAACTGTTTTGTGACTTCGTTCAGCTTAAGCCTGTAACTTGGGACCGAGGTGAGAGAGAGTTTCTCATCCAGGGCTTGCGGCAGCAGTGGGGCTGGCAGGGTTGAAACTTGAGACGCATTAAAACCCCCTATGCCGCCTATGCCGAATTCAACACGTGATTTAAGTTAGATAGGCCCAAATTTCAGCACAGCAGCTGGTTTGCCTAGCCAGGTTTCAAAAAGCTACGGCCGCTTACTTGACAGCAGCTGCGGCAGCACCAAACAGCCGACCGAAGGAGCATTTGGAAGACTTGGAGCGGATCAAGCAGGAGTGTGCACAGTGCCCGGCTATAACACAAAACGTCACACAACCCAAAGAATTGTGTGCTTGCTGAATGGTGTACTGTAAGCAGCCATGGTATTTGGGAGTTTGCAAGACAGTTGAGTTGATGGTTTTGCTGCGGCGAAGGCGAAGGGCGTTTCCATTCCTGAACTCGAATCGTGCCCCCAAGGGGCGCAGTGTCAGGACATTGCCAATCTGAGCCATCCTTATGTTTTTGTGGAGGCCACCTAAGTAAATGGTTAAACTATAGCAACTAGAGAGACACTTCGGAGCTGACGCAGGCTTGAAGAGTTGGTGGCGCAGTGCTGCGGATCACTGCGGAATGCCGTGCAGATGATTTTTCCGATGAGCTGTGTCACCCGCATCAAAGAATCCGGTCCCATGAATTCAATGCATGCATGATGCTCGGAAAATACCATGGCCCCATCCCTGACGGCGCAGATGCTAGGACCCTTCACAATACAGTTGCACTGATGCAGAGACGAACTCGTGAGATGAAGTGTCTGAAGATTCCCGCAATCCATTCTTTTGGCTTTCAGGATCTAGCTGAACATAGATGGCCTCGGCCAAATTCAGATCTTAGTAGTCTCGGCGGAGCCGAATTCATGGACCTGTGCATTGAGTACACGGTGACCTTTCCTCGTTTTTTCCTCTTCGCAGTTGGAGATGCGCGATGTTGGTTGTTCCACAATGTGATTGAATGCGATGTTGCAGCGATGCATGTTATGCTGCCAGTTCTACTATGGGGAACGGGCTGCCAGAAGTGTTTGGATGCGCCTGCTACTGAGAACTTGTGCAGAAAAGGCAGCAGTATGATTCTATGATGTGGAACTTGCATCCCTCCACTCTTGCATCACAGGTCCGGTTCCTGCAACTCTTACGGTAGTTGGTAGCAGCAGGGGCCTCAGATCCGACTGAAGCGAACTGCTTAGCTTGCAATTTCACAAGTTCGTTTGGCCTTGATTGGCTTGGCTTTCGCAGCACTTCCATGCTTCCCACTTCATGTTGTGAGCAGATGGCCAAGCAAGCAAACATGGCGTGCCAACGAAACTCCCTGAGCTTCAACTATACATCTGATTCATTGTCAAACCTGCTATCACCTTCTTCGCTCCCTTTCATACCTTTGCCCCACAAAAGATAAAACAAGTTTGTTTCGGTCAGAAGTCACTGAAGAAAGTCACAGTCACTGAGGCTTCTTCTTTCTCCTTTTTTTTGGAAGCATGCAGGGAGGTTCGGTGATCCAAGCCGCTGGACCAAGAGGTGCCATTGTAGCCACCCAGATGCAAGCAAGGGGCTGTCTGGGCAGCTGCAGCAAGCTAGCTTAGAATATGCAATGCTAGATCTCATGTCAATCTCATGTCAGGCCTTCAAGATTCTTCATTCGTATCTTGAAGTTGCTTGCTTTCTTTGGCAAGTAGGCTCCAATGATGTGGTGGACAGTGGTGACGCTGTAAAGGCAATTCCTTGAGCTGACTCTAATTCGGGAAGCTAAGGACCCTATGCCTGTGCGGGCAACGCCTGAGCCTCGCTTTCGGACCTTCGGAAGTTTTTTTTCTTTTTTCTCAGTGCTCAATTCAATTGACCATGGACCGTGCACTACAGCAATGCCAGGTCAGAGAGGAGTCTCAGCCGTATCCCGGCTTATATAGAGTTGACACAGTCTGACAACAACGTCCAGAATCTTTCGTGACTACTATGCTGCAAGGGCTTGAAAAGACAGGTCCATGTCAATCTCACTTCTATAAATGTACGCAGAATCGACGCAGAGAGTTGGTTGACACGTTTAGGGCGACAAAAGTTACGCAAAGATGAACATCGTTTTCGAAAGGACCATCGCCACTTGAGTTGGCCCCAAAACATAAGGCCCCGATGTGGCCGCCTCACGATCAAAGTCGGAAGAGGCCACTGAAGCCACAGAGGCAGTGCCAGATGCCGTGGTTAATCGGCGGTGTACGCGTTGTGTCGAGTCATAGGGTGTGCCAGTGGGCCAGATTGAAACCGAACTTGACCAGGAGGGTAGCCCGGTAGCCTGCAATCTGAATGGACCTCCCTAGGAGCCCTTCCGGCTAAAGCGTTGACATCCCTTGACTCAGGCAGAGGAAAGGACTGATGCCATGCCTGCTTCGTTCCAGAGCGGTCCCGAAGAAAGCGCTGATGACCTGGTGGGACAGAGCATGGTGAGACCAGATGCTCGACCCGAGCCCGAGGACACAGAGCCAGAGCGCCAGCACCAGGATGTGCATGGATTCTCCAGACTTGGAAAATCGGATGCCTCCAGCTTTCAGCCCCTTGGTCTTTGGAATGTGATGTGTTTTGTTTGCTTGGGATGTCCGATTGGGAGAAGTTTCTTGCTCCTATTTGCAAGCCTTTGCCCCAAGCAATTTCAGGCAAGAGAACGAGGGTGAGAATGAGGACCTAGACGAGCGCGTTGCCCGTGCCAATGACGATGAGGAGATTCGATCAGGCAACCGGGCGCGCGAATCTGGTGTGGACAGTCCAGGTCCAGATCTAGATAGAGGTCACAGAGAACACAGTTCATCCTTTTCGGTGAGCGGGAGTGGTGCCTTCCCGGGCCAAGAGCTGACATCTGCTGAGAACGGCCTCGCACAAGCCGGAGTGGCCATCAAGCATGCTGATGAAGAGGATCAAGCTGAGCAAGATACAGAAGGCACGGAGCTTGATAAAGACGGCCTTCCCTCAGCTCCAGACCAACTGTTGGTTAGCAGCGGGGAAGAAGCCTACGAGAAGGGTATCAAAGATGAAGTTGACTTGGACGATGATCAGCCAGCCCAAGAAAGAGACAGTGCCCAGCCTGGCAAAGGAAGTCTTGGAGATGCTGCTCCAGAGGATAATGATGAAGACATCCCGGAGACTAACGATATGCACCCTGGCAGAGGCAGCCTTCTTTCTGGAGAAAAGATGGGCATCGGTGAAAGCAACATAATCGGCAACCAGGCAAACGGCCTTCGTGGCAGTCAAACAAGTTCGAAAACCATAGGGTTTGACAGCTTTGACAACCCAAAGGAGGAAGCATCCAAGAAAGGCGGTGGCTTTGCAGAAGATGCTGCAGTTGGTTTGAAACCTGCTGCTGACAGCATAGGAACCGACACAATGGAAGAGACGAAAAGAACAAAGCTTCGCGGCAATGGATTCACTAAAGAGAGGACGGCAGATGGCTTGAGTCCAAAGTCAGGTAGCATTCCGAAGGCCACCACAGAAAAGGTGAAACTTGGCATTGGAGGATCCAAAGATGAGAAGCTGTCAGATAACTTAAGACGAAAGTCAGGCAGTAGTCAGAAAACAGGTGCAGAAGGCAAGAAAGTAGGACCGGAACTTGGCATCGGAGGCTCCAAGGAGGAGAGAACCTCAGACAACTTAGGACAGAAGTCCGGTAGGGTGCCAGCCACTGACAGTGCGGATACTGGCAGTACAGCTGATGCTGTCACAGATGTGAAGCATGGTGCTGGCCAAGTTGATGATGCAGAGGAGGAAGTGGATGCACCGCGCATTGGTGCAGGACCCCCTCAAAAAGCAGTCACAGACAAGTTGAAAGAGAAGCCAGGTGCCGAGGATTCAGTGGAGCAAGAAGAAGATGACGCAGAAGACCCAGTGAAGGAGGGAGACAAGATGAGACCAAAGTCAGGTAGCCTTCCAAGCACGAACCCTGCAACAGCTATCAAGCAGCCAGTCGACCAAGATGTTGATGATGTAGAAGAGCAAGAAACAGGAGAAATTCAGCCAGCCGCGGGCAGTCTTCATTCCACAAAATCCCCAGCGCCCAATAGCCAAAGAAGCACGAAAGACCTTCGTGGGCAAGAGCCCAGTAGCAGTCCAAAAATAGACGCCGCGGCAAGTATCAAGAACGAGGGTGATCAACTAGAGGATGAGCTGGAAGAGCAACATAAAGAGAAACTGCAGCCTGCCAAGGACAGCTTGGGTTCCATTAAAGCTGCAAGTTCGAACAAGCAGGGAACGGCAGATGGCTTGAGTCCAAAGTCAGGTAGCATCCCGAAGGCCACCACAGCACAGGGCGTCGAGCAGGTGCAACTTGGCATTGGAGGATCCAAGAATGAGAAGCTGTCGGACAACTTGAGACTAAAATCAGGCAGTAGTCAGAAAACAGGTGCAGAAGGCAAGAAAGAAGGACAGAAACTTGTCATCGGAGGCTCCAAGGAGGAGAGAACCTCAGACAACTTAGGACAGA